AAAGGAACAGGGTGAAAACTCTGTGTGATATTGTCAGCTCCTGTTTGGGCATTCGCTCCATTCAGAACATCTAATTCCCTGTATCATAGCTGGTCTGTGAATCTGTGCTTCTCTATACACTTTCCTAATAAGCATATGATCAATGGGGAAACACGCAAACACACACACACACACACACACGCTATCTAGAATACCCGAAGAAATATGGCACACACTGTAGGGAGACAATAAATGTCCATTTTGTTAGAAATGAAGTCAAAGCGGAAGAGAACCTCAACATTCATTATCTGTATCTGCCTCTGAGAGTTACTACTAACCCTAGGTATGCACACAAGGCATGTTCTTCAAGACAAACACATAGGGATACATATGCAGAGACAATCCTAATCAAATGTATGCTCAGCTGAGGCCCTAGCTAATTTACAAGGCTGTTCTAGGAAAGACACAATTCTAGGACCAACAAGAGGTCTACGGGTAAAACACATTCCACCCAAGACATGGTCTGGGAGTTTTGCTGGTTAACTGTTTTTGTTTGTCAGCTCAGAAGGTATGCTTCCACTGCGCCCTGTCAAAAACTTCCTCAGCAGTCGAGGAGAACATAGCAACACAGCTGCCCTTGGGCCAAGTCTGTAAATCCTACTGGGAAAGCACCCCATGCTGTAAGACGCCGTGGTTTTCAGACACATCTAAACAGACTAGTTGAATTAAAGACCAACTCCAGATTTGATGTTGCTGAGCTTCTCAGCTCCATCTTGCCATCCTGATTGATCGAGGAGATGGTCTATAGATTAAGTGACACAGCACTTTGAGGGGTTAGTCAAAGAGCACACTGCTTTGTCCTGGGAACTTCTTGCTTGGCTAGTTATGGAAGCTAAGGAGTGACTTCAAGATGCTGTCTGGCCAGAATTTGCAGATAACCATAGAACTCTTCTCCTCCATCAGGCATGGATTTAGCCTCCTTTAGTTCCTGCAGTGACACAGGAGCTTCCAAATACCAAATTATTATCAGGCGGTCTTGGGGGAACCTCTGGGCCCTGCAATAAAGTAGACAGACTTGCTATTGGAAAGTGCTCAGGAGCAATTCAGCCCTGTTCACATTGCTCTAAAATCTCACAAACCATCTCTGAACTTGGTAAATGAAAATTGTCACGTCACTCCTGAGAGTGAAAAAGTATGTCAAAGGGCATTAATAATTGCTCATCACTCCTTTCTGACACAATCTTATGTATGGGTTAAAGAATTCTGCTTAATCGTGGTTTTCATTTGCATGTTTGGCTCCTAAAGCAAAGCGATTTGAGTCCTGGAGCCGAACCCTTAGAGTTGAGTAACTTTGGACAAGCCACTTCCAATGTCATCTATTAAATTATGTGTCTAACAGGTGGTCATTAAGATCTAACCCAGGGGTCACAAACAGGTTGTAGACAATGAACCCAATCTCACTTACACTAATACAACCTTCTTTACCCTACTTAGCATCTGAAATCTTGGGCACTTCAAATAAAAGAATAAATACCCACTCTCTGGAGTATTTGCTAATGCCAGGCCCATTCTCCAGCAGGGTCTTTATTATCTCATTTCATTTTTTCCCAATATAGGCTGTTCCTCCTATTGATTTGTAAGATTCCTATAAAAGGAGATGGAAGACCTTTCTGTAGCACATTCTACCTTAGTACCTTAGTACTCCATTTGACCATATGATCTCTCTCTGCAGTGAGATTCCCTGAGGTCAGGGAGAAAGCCACTGCTATCACAAAATCTTTAGTTTCTATAGAAACATCATAAAAGTACTGCAGGGAATCAACAAATACTTAGCAAATTGAAATTTACTCTTTAGCATGTCTTCTTGCAATTCAGTGAAACGAAACAGAGGTCACTCTTAGTAACATAAGACATATATTCCAAAGTCAACATCTTTGACTGTAACATGTAACTTTGAGAGATTAGTAGATACACCAGTTTGTCATCCAAGCCTCTGATAAATCCAGAGGGATGGAGGTGATTTACAATCCAGTGACATTTTGCTCTAAGTGCATGAATTCAATTCTAGGCTATCTCTAAGATTTTCTCAATGATTTTAGTTATCAGTTATGCAAATTCTTGGAAGAGGCCTGCTTCAGTGGTTATTAGAAGTTGGTCTATTCGCCTGGTGTGGTGGTACAAGCCTTTAATCCCAGCACTAGGGAAGCAGAGGCAGGAGGATCTCTTGTGAGTTTAAGGTCAGCCCGGTCTACATAGTGGGTTCCAGGCCAGCCCCACTACAGAGAGCCCTTATCTCATAAAGACCCTCCCCCAAAGAAGTTGGTTTACTTAAAATAATCCATACAAATAACTGAATGGAAGTTAAGCTCTCAAAATTTCATGAACCTAAAGCAAAGATCCAATTGCATGCCAGTTTCTACATTTTGAAATAGTTTAATTTTTGGATTATTGGGATTAATTTAGTTAATGTTTTTTTGTTGAAAGCCTATTCTACTAAAATTATCTAAATCTATTTAAATTGACTAATACATTGTAAAATGTATATCCAATTTAAAAAACGAATATGTACACAAGTTTGGTGAAAATAAAACCAAAGACAACACATCGTGGGAATCTTTGTTACAAATCCATTAGTATATAATATTTCAGCAATAGATAGCCACATCTGGTCAGTGTTGAAGGGTATATGTTCTGTGCTGTGAAGGGATAGTTAACAGGTGAATTTGCTGCTTTCCCAAGGCTTAGAGTCTAACCTAAACAGGAATGCAGAAATAAGCACAAAGGTAGCCACTCACTGAACAGGAGACAACACGTGCACTTTCGAAAAATGAAAAACAATGTGGACTCAAGCATGACATTTATGAAGGGCTGAAGGGAAAGAGTAAGTTTCTTCTTCATTCCTATTTCTTTGTAAAGGGAATCCATAGAAGATGCGTGATTTTTAGCTAACTGCTCCTAAAAGAATCAAAGTGTATACCTGGCTTTGTGTCTGGCAAAATAAAATTTCAGCTTGTATAAAATGAAGGTCTGAGAATACAAAGCCAGGAAAGGGTGGCTGTTGAAGGCTCAAGGAGACACGATGGGGAAGGAGTGGTTAAAGGGGGACTCTGTGGTCTGGAGCCTAGGCGCTTCCTCAGAAGCTGAAAAGCTACAGGCCTCCACAACTCTCTTTCAGTACCTTCCAAGTGTGGGTGACACAAAATGACTAAGTCACAAAACCAAGAGTCTCCTAAAACTAACCAAAGGGTTTGCAGACATCTCCGTGGCTTCTAGAAGAGATGACTTTTGCATGCTTTCTCTTATGACTGCTAAGGGAAGAGCATGCCCAGTGAGATCACAAACTCGCAGTCAGTCACCCACCCATTTCGCCCAGAGGATCCCCTCTGCTACTGCTTGTGCTCTTGCACATTTGTTCTTATTGGATGTGTCGGACCAGTGGCCTCTACCTGATGATTCAGTTTTGTCTTTCCTCCACTGAGAAGGAAAGCAAACTTCGTGAGGGTCCGTTCATTTTAATTAATCTCAATTATACAGCGTGAGGCTAATAGAAGTACATCACACAGCTTAGTCCTGGTGGTGACAGTGGTGTCAAAATACGTCATTCCTAGGGAGAACAACTGAAGTTGTGATCCAGATGCTCTTATCACAGCGTCTTGCTTTGTCTTTGTATTTGGCAGTTATACATGCAGGACATTTCAAACATCCCTGGAGGATGCCTAACCTTTACAAAGAATGCCTAAGGATGCCTAATTCTAAGCGAAGACTACACTTACCTGTTTACACCATAGCTATTAGAATTAATAACACCTTGATTTTGAATAATACTTAAAGTTCAAGGAGACCAATAATCTTTGAACAACCTTTTCTATTTATCTTTTCACATTACAAATTCAACTAAAATCTTCGGTGAGGTCTACTCTCCCATATTACATCCTTATAATACTGTTCTTTCTAATTCTTAGTCTCAAATTCAATCTTAAATTTATCTTGATATAAATGTAAATGAATAGAAAGAAATCACAGATGTTTCCTTATATACAAAAAGATCTGTTACATTACTAAGCCCACTCATCCAATGAGTTTTCAGCAAAATGTCAGTCTCCAAGTCTGAACTTTACAATTGTCCTATTTGACTCTGAGACAGTACAGGAGAGCAGCATCTGAGACAGGATAAAGACATGTAAATAGACAGAAGATACTACCACATCAGTTCGAGGGAACTCTTGGAATTAGGGCCACCTGATGTCCTATCCCTCAAGGCTTTTTATTTCTGTATGAGGGAAGGCCGGGATTTCCAATGAAAAAATCCTGTGTGTTTACTGTGTTAAAATTTTCAGTTGCCTAAGGCTGTGCTCCATGTTTTATGTCTGAGCAATGGCTCAGAAGATAGGATAGGGGACCCTGTGAAAACTTCCAAGCTTGCCAATAAAGGCTGATGGGTTAGTTGAGTTACTAAAGATAAAAGTCAGCTTACTTCACATGCATGTTTTGGTGCAATGTCTCTTTGCTGTTATGGCATCACAACAAGGCCTCGTGCTAGAAATTAGGACTGAGCAAAGAAATAGAGCTAGGCAAAATTGATACCACCTGTGTGCAACACAGAGCCTTCCTGACTACTTAGAGTGCGTGTTTCAATTCCTTTCAGTACACCATATTTAAATGCCATCATTGCCTGTCAACTGTAACTGATGTATATGCACTCTAATGACACTTCTGGTTTCTGTCTCTAGCCTCTGGATAAGCATGCTTGATTTCAATTTCATGTTGACAAATGATTTTGGAAAATGGATTCCAAGAGAAGTCTGTATCTGTCCACAATTCCCAACCCAGCAGGAGACAGACCCTGAGACTTCTAAACGTAACAAACTAAAGAATCTGATCTGGAAAACAAACGGTATAAGAATTCTCAAATATTCCACTGCCTCCAACCCCCAGCCAGCCTTGTCAAAGGCTCTGATCAACATAATTATTGAAACAGCCATACAGCAAATGGGTCAATAAGCATAAACAGCTGTACTTACATGTGTCTGGCTTGAGCTGACTGTTGGTGATGCCAAAGTACTGGGGATTTTCAATAACAGGAATCTTGGTCATTCCAATAATGACAGCATCGGGGCCGCCCTCTGAAGAGGATGGAGTATTACTCCCATTGGAGATGTGATGGAGGGGGCTGGCTGAGTCATCATCATTGCTGATAACAGAAGCTGGGCCTGGAGTTGGATAAAAGCATAGATAGTCTATGATTTAATGGCTTAAGTTGAGCTTGAGCTTTAATTCATATGCATAAAATTCATCCACTCCAACTGCACAATTTGAGTGGGTTTTGGTATATTCACAGAGTTGTGCAGTCATCACTATAATCTCATTTTAAGACATGTTCTTTGCCCCAATTCTTATTTATCTCCCATCTTCGCAACTCCCAGTTCTAGGCATCTATAAATTTACTTTCTGTTTTTGAATTCCTGTATCCTGGCATGCCGTGTAAATGCAGCCACAGAATTTGTGACTTTCTGTAACTGGCTTCTTTCACTTACAGTGCTTCTAAAGATTCTAAAGTTAACTTGCATTGCCACGGGTCAGTACTCCCCTCATACTGTTGAATACTAAATTCTATATCTATGGCATGTTTTATCTATCTGTCCATCTACCTACTGAAGGACATTGGGAACAATTTAGTTCTTAAGAATCATGCCACTCTGAACATATATGCACCACTTTTTGTGGGGACACACGCTTTCACTTCTCTTTTGTGGAATTAATAAGTCATATGGAAACTCTCTGTGTTTAACATTTTGAGGAACCACCAAACTGCTTTACAAAATGGCTGCAAAATCTTATATTCCCACCACTCATATGCGAGGGCTTCAATTTCTTCTTTTCCATTTCCTGTCATTTCACGTGCGGCTCCTCTCTGGGCTCCATGCACACTGGGAGACACCCTGTCACTGAACTCTTGGCATGAATCCAGAATGCCCGCTTCATTGGAGACTGAAAGTCATACTGGGAATTTGGAGATCCGAGTTTCCTAATTCCACACATTTAACAAGTACCTGTCTTCTTTGTGCCTCTATATCTGCTTCTATTTGGAGACAGTGCTAAAGATTATCTGACTGTTATTTTATGGGACAGGAGTGAGATTAGAGATATGAAAATGTACTACAAGCTTAAATGTGCTTCATGAATCTCAATTTCTAGTGGGTATTCCTAAATGAATTTTAACTGAGGACGGGAACGACATGAGACTGTTCTGCCTCCATAGTCCTTTGTCTCTGCTGACACTGAGCCACTTCTGTCTACCACAGATTTTTAGAACAACAATGGAGTGATTCCATGCATTATTGGGATCCCTGTCTATTAGAGTAATGTCTGTAGCATTTTCCATGCAAGAATTACAGTTTTTAGCTCTAAACCTCAGAATACAAATGTTCTTATATACAGTCCACTGTATCTTGTCTAACCAATTTACCAATTTATCTGCTCACTACTAAAATCATATTGCTTCCACCCAAAAACAGGTTCACAAAGATAAAGGTGTATGAGAAAGCTTGAATGAGCTCTTCATACATGGGAAACAATGTCTTTTAGACATACGGCACACAGGCCTGTGAAGCATGTGGGATAAGCACATTCCTTGGAAGCAGACACTGGCCCTGTTGCCACCCACCGGTGGGGAGAAGGAGTAAGGGGAAAGGCAGGGAGCACAAAGACAGAATCAAATTCCTGGGCAAGGCCATGTAAAGGAAGTCTGAATTGCTACTTCTGGGGCCAGGGTGTGTGTTTTCAACACCTCCCCCAGCTCACCCCCATCCCCCCATCCCCGCATGCAAGTTTCAGCATCTCCATACATTCTCCACCTTTCCCCTCACGTTTAATTACTTCAATGAAAAGCAATTACAAAAACAAAGGTTGTTTTGTTAGCAGCCATACAGTTTGAATCCCAGTTCAATACAATGACAATCCATCCCCTAATCTCCAAGATCCATTTCTTCCCCTATGAGGATTATTGCAGTTTGTAGTGATAACAATGGACATTACCCAGCTAGCTGTATCTTAAACAAACTACGAATGAAGAAACCTACTGCTGTTCCAGATAATTTTTAAAGTACTTTCTCAATGGGAGTTGCATTGTAGCTACCTTTAATGATACACTGTGGCTTAATTCTGCAAACAAGTCCTCATACAGCCAACCTAGAAGCCACAGAACACTGAAAGCCAAGACAAGACCACGAGTTGTGCCCATCTTGAGTCTTACTCATCTGTGTTAGCAAACGGCAGAAATCCTGCCAGGAATAGCTGTAAAGGCAGGTGCTTTCTAATACCCCGAGTCATCATTGGTTTATGATCTGTTTTCTGACAGCTTCTAGCCAGCGATGGAAAATGGAGATGTGCTATGCTTAGTTTCTGTGTACTGTCGGTAAAACTTTCCTGCCACTGGCTGCCTTGCCAGGTCCTCTTCCATGAGGCTACCAAAGCTTTCTACTGTCAGAACTGGGCGGGGAGGCGGGGGTAACAGTTAAAGCTGCACATTTCTTAAAAGATTCCAGGCTCCACCTTTACCTCTGAGATGACAATTCAGGGATTGTCATCTTCAAAAACTCCACACGCTGTCAGAAAGCCAGCAAAGTTTCCTTTTGGCACCCCATGATGGTTAGAGATACATTAACTTCAGTTGGTTTATTCTCTGTTTTCTGGCCCAGGTCAAGTTGTGAGAGTCACAACTGTGCTGTGTCAAGGAGATGATCTTGAGATTCCTCCAGAAATCTAGCTCGGACTCACCTGCTATGTACACCCTGAAGTCCTTGTACACAGTGACTTCTTGTTTGAATACAACCAAAAACCTCACTCTCTGCTCTTCCTTTTCCACCAAAGGACACTCCTCTTTTCCTGTCTCACTATCTAAAACTCAGCCGGTCATGTAAGAGAATGCAAGAGGATAAGGGCTGGGGCCATAGTTAACACGCACATGGATGAACCTGGGTCCCATCCCCAGCTCTATAAGAAAGCAAGGTGATTTTTCAAAAGCTTTTCCACTTTGCAGAAAGTCACTGCTGACAAATGGAGCATCACAAACCTCAACAATTCATCAAGGGGAAGATTAATTCAACTGCTGTTTCCTTCATTAGTGATGTTCCAAACCCTGGAAGATTGATATGGCTGGCAAGGTTGTGGGAATTAAGACCATTTTTCTATGAACATTTTAATATAATGGAACACAGAGCACAGCAAAATTGGGAGGGGAGAAAACCTCCCCACAGGGACAATGAGTGTCTATATAATGTGACAGCAGCCTGTCTGTACACTGCACGATTTGTGTCTTTGTGTGTCTGTGTGTGTGTCTGAGCAGACACCACAAAAAAGACAGAAGTCAGAGTCACATCACAGCATGTTAAAAGAAGCTCATATGAGAACTTGGAAACTATATTATAATGTTAATATAAAGCTTGAAATTTCTATGAATGCACACAGCTACTAATCAGGTGGCTAGTTCTAATTACTCAAAGGATAAATACGAGGTATGCTTAGAAACATTTTTTGGCCCATTTTTATTTTGATGTAAAATAAAACGAGACACATAGACATATTTTTCTGAGTAAAATGTCCTACGCATCAGCCTTTTTAGATGTTTCTGAGCCTAACTTAGATGTCTTTTCTAGTGATTGAAATGGTCATCTGGGAAGAGGGCTTCCTTCTCAGTAATGCCCTTTTAAAGTGAGAGAAGGAATTTCAACTAGAGCAGCTCTATTAACTGTGCTTTTTTTTTTTTTTTTTTTTTTTTTTTTTTTTTTTTCTGTAGTCTGATGCTTTATACCTGGGGCCTGATGCCCAGTTGCTTGAGACAGTAAATGCTTTACCTGCAAGTGCATCTTCCACACACAGACCAACCAGCAGGGTCTAGACTGCCAGTCACCTGTCTGATCTGCTTTTCACACTCCAGACCACTGTTTACTTGTCCTATCAACCTTGAGCCAGATACCAGTAAACTCAAGCTCACAGCCTGCTGAATAGCACTTAAGTCCAAGGCCTGCTGGATAGCACTCAAGCCTAGAGCCTGCTGATTTATTGCAACCAATCAACCCTAGGCCTGCCACCTCTGCTTCACCCATTCCATGGAAACTACAATAGAAGTTTCCTAAGGACGAGCCCCTTTCCGTGGTTAAAGGTGTCTGCGATATGTTGTGCTAGATACAGTGATCTGCTATTTAGGAGAAACAAGATAAGGAAGGAAGCATATAAACTCAAAGTCTGATGGAAGCAAGGTTCATCATAGACACCATGGTCCAGTACCATAGAGGAAGAGTGATTCACTTCTTCCACATACACATGCCCACAAGGCCTTGACACAGAGAACCCTATGGACTGCCCTGAAAGGAACACCCCTTTAGTGTGTTTGGAGAGTGACTGATAGGCTAGTTTTGAAATTTGCCCCTTGGGAGCTTCCTAGAGTCCTGAGAAGGTGGAACTTGACGTTCCAAGTTTGTCCCGTGTGTACTTCTTTCTCTTTTCTTAGAAACAGGTTTTGCCTTTCATCTTTGAGGCTAGTGAAGGTCAGGGTGATTTCTTTCCATTTCCAGGTCTCTTCTCTCCATTCTACCTTAGACAGGCCTCAGTTGCCTGCTCATTTGTGGATCATTGGACAGACACTGATAGAGAATGTCCAACTTGACAGGGTCCTATGTCAGATTCAAAGAGGTAAAGGAAGCAGGCTTCCTCATATGGCTCAGATGAGCAAGCACAGGGCAGACAGCTCTGAATGGGTGGCTCCCTGGTACACAGCTACTTCCATAACTTTGAAATTTTACCTGTCACCAATCTTGTTACCAAAAGAACGACTAAAGGATTCTGTCTGTTGACAGAAAGGCAGTCTGTATTTTCAATCCTTTCTTGTAATTCCATTTGTTGTCTTTGTACCCACAGAAAATACCAAGCAAATTGGAGGTCCTGGGAGACCACACCTGATTTCGGTCCTAACGATGAGCTACACCATCTGCCTTCACTCCGTGAGCTGCACGCTCTGCTTTTCAATTGTCTGCACACAATCTGAATGCAAGGAATAGAATGCAATCAAGCACAAATCACAGTGTCTGGATGTGGAAGTCTGTTTTAAAAAAAAATGGTCATAAATGAACAGCTCAGAATTACCAGTTCAGAATTCTATTGCATCTTAACCAACAGAACAAAGTTAAGAGCCAAACTTGCCCAAACCTGACTGTTCTGCCAAATATGCACTGTATTTGTGGCCCTACTGCAGTTATATTTTATGTCTTTAACCCAGAACCCATCTCTGCCTAGAACTGAGACAGCAGTTGAAACATCTCTTTCAAATTAAAACAGGTCAACCTCAAATATGCCAAACTGCTTACTGAACACAATTAGCAAAGTAATGCCTTTTCTAGAAAAATGTTGGACCTTTTACTTCAACAAATCAAAATCTAGAAACACAGACTATGAGTCAAAGACCAACAAATATAAACAGAACCCAAGCAGGTTCTTCTGAATCAAACAGCACCAGCTCAGTACTTATCCAGAGCAGCGGCTACTTACCTATACCTTGTCTTGACTTTACTTTCCCAATTCCAAACCATGAGAAATCTGAAAACCACAACAAAACATAAAATAAACTTGGAAAGAGAAGTGTAAACCAGAGCCAGTCCACACTGTCCTTAGGCAAGTAACTTATCAACCCCCTCCCCCAAACATCAGTTTAAAAAACCAAAACCACTGGGTACCAAGACATCCTCTCGAACACTGGGAACTAGCCCTTGGATCTCCGTACAAACATTTGTATTTCATCCTGAGATCATGAAAGTTCAAATCGAGTAAGAGACAGCAGCCTGTCTTCAAAGAAAATGGCCCAAACCCAAGGTTAATGGCCCTGAGCTGTTTTCTTTCTTTCTCACTTTCTTTCTTTCGCCTAAGTGGGGAAATCACTGCCTAGTATCGAACCATCTAGCAGGAAGGCTGTAGGGGTGAAGACACACAATGCATTTGATAAATGTTCTATGGCTCTGAGCCCCAGTAATGTGGGATAATAATGAGAGAAAACAGAGCTTTTCTGAAGCCAAAAGAGGCAATCAAAAAGGAACACGAAATCCCGGGGGAGAGCTCACACAGGGGCTGGATGAGGATGGGGGTGGATATCCTAATGCCACATGGATTCCCACTGTTGACCCACTGGGTGACAGTGAGTCTACCCTTACAGCAGTAGACTCCACTGGGTACATGTGGGAAAGACTCCAGACATTTGGAGGGTCTCCAATGAATAAACCCACAGCAAAAGATCTATTTCTTGTCCCCAACTGTTTCATTTTAGGGAAGCACTGGGTTCAAAGTATATTCTGCACAACAAAAGAATAGCTAGCTGGACACAAGGCAGGTAAAGGAGTTGAGCCCACATAACTCACGGTTTCCCTGTTTTTCAGTTCTGTAGTGATCTCTATAGGCAGTTAGGATAATAACTAGGTGCAAGAACTAATTTAAGTGAAAGAATATAGGTAAAATCTCCTGGCATCCAAAGATGCCTTGCAAAGTTGCTGTTCTGATTATTATGATCAAGATGAGGCTTTGCTTTTCTGGTGTCCTGCATGTCAATTTTCCAACCCCAAAGCTGGTTTTATTCATTTATTATTTATTTATTTGTTTTTATTTATTATCTACTTAGCTAGATAACCAGTTATTGCAGTACAACAAATCCAACATAGGGCCTTAGGCAAGTGATGAGCTGCCTCGTCAACCCAAAACTGACTTTTGCTTGAGGTTTATCTTCCTCTGAGTGCTTCCTTCCGGGTTTTCAAAACCAAAATAAAAGCTTGGCTTCAATCCAAAGTCAAATAAAGATTCCTTTGCACGGGAGACAGAGAGCTTGATTAACAAAAGCTATGATCTGGGCTGCCAGGGTCATGCTTATGGAGTTGTTGGCTGTGACCAACCCCATTCAAAGCAAAGTGTGCTTTCCTACTGGTCACTTTTTGAGTTTTATATGTATTTATTTTTTGACAGTGCTGGGGATCAAACCCAGGACCTCACACATGCTAGCTCTACCACTAAGCTAAACCCTCTACCCCTTAATGTTTATTTAACTTGTTCTTTATTTTTTCTCTTTTAAATTTTTTTAATTTTAGTTTCATTTTATATATATGAGTGTTTGCCTGCATGTATGTAAATGCACCACATGTGTGCAGTGCCCACAGAAATCAGAACAAGACCTCAGATACCCTGGAACTGGAGTTACATACCATTGCTAGACATCATGAGGGTGCTGGGGACTGAACCTGGGTCCTCTGCAAGAGTGACAAGTGCTCTGAACCACTGAGTCATCCTTCCCACTCCTTGACTTTTTTAAAAAAATAAAATCATAGATCAAACTTTTCAAAACTGCTTTTATCTGAGAAAGTTTTCAAAATTCCATTCCTCTTTGATAGAGAACTCACTGAAGGAGAGCACAGATCACTCACTGACAGGACATTTCAGATCATTTTCAGTCAATTAACGTATAATAAACACAACTGCAATGCCATCATGCACATTCAAAGTGTTCCCATCCCCCTTCCAAAATCCACTCCAGCAGGCCTGGAGAGAAGACTTTGTGGTTAAGAACACTGGCTACTCTTGCAGAGGATCTGGGTTTGGCTCTCAGCATCCACAAGGCAGGCTCATAACACAACTGCCTTAACTCCAGTTCCAGAGAATCTGATGCCCTCTTCTGGTCTCTTCGGTTACCAGGTACACACATGGTACACTACACACATGTGGGCAAAACACTCTTGCACATAAAATAAAACTTAAAAAATCACTTAAAAAAAACACTTCAGTAGGAAAAATTCCAGAAATAGAATTACTCTCTGAGAGGACCAGAGTTGTTAGAGTGGCTTTGGGTTATATGGAGCCTCACTTTCACCAACAGTGAGTGCACCAGTGAAAAATGTATTGCTGAGTTCCGCTCAATGGGCAAGCTCAGGGTGAACCACTTCCTGCTTCCACTCTGTCATTCCTGTGAATCCACCTTGCTGAGTCTTGGCCAGCAGCCCCTGAAATCATTCCCACCTAGGTTCTCACGTGCTGCTGTGTTGCATGGGTGCATCAAAGAGCACTGCAGACAAGAAGAGCATCAGAATGCCTCTTACCTGTGCAGTTCCTAGGGCCCCCGAGCCTCTGCCCTCCCTTGCTTCCCAGCAGTGTTGTGCTTGAGTTACAGATCACCCTACACTTGCTGACAAGGAGAGGTGGATACACTTAGCAAAGTTAGCACTGAGAACCAGGCTTTCTTCAGTCTTTCTTAATTGCCTGTCCAATGCTCCAAAGTTGCAAAGTTAACCACATTTTATGACATTATAATTAAGATAGTTTTATATATAGATAAACACCATCAAGTGATTATTTATTCCACTGGCAGAGCAGAGACTTCAGAGGGTTTCGAGGTTTGCCCTGAAGGGAGTTTTGGTGGAAAGTGAGCCATTCTAGAAGTGTGTCAGTGTGTGGAGTTCAGAGGGGGAAGAGCCACTCCAGCTTAGATGAGCATTGTGGGTTCGAGGGACAGAGAAAGAAACTTCTGCATTCTAGAACACAAACTAGAATTAGCTGAGTAGGAAAGAACCGGGGCGGGGCGGGGGACACGGGTGCCCAACTTGGAATGGTTCAATTAAACAGTTTCTGATTTTTCTGTTGTGTGAAAGCTATATGCATTCATAAGACACTTTACTTCAGATGTGACCTTGAGTCTCTTCTCCAGGCCTCCAGCCTACTGTACAGTACTCACTGGAGACGTATAGCAGCAGGAGCACACTGCTCCCACCAGGCAGGTGACCCCGAGAGTGCCACCACTGCTTCGCGGTGCACCGCATCGCCAGCATGTTACTGTGTGGCCAAGGTATTATAAGGTATTATAAGAGACACTGCACACTATTAGAAAACGGGCTTTGTGCTGGAGGGTTTGGCTCAACTGTGAGCTAATTTAAGTGTTCTGAGCATGTTTGAAGGAGGACATAAGCCCACAGTGAACCGAGGAACACCTGCACTCATTCCTAGACTTGGTTACAGCTAAAATGGAATGTGGTGAACGTGTCAAACAAGCGCTGGTGCAGCTAGAGAGAGCAAAACACTGAGACACGTAAGCAAGGGCCAAGTTAACAATTCAGATTTTGTAGTAAAAATTAGGATTAGACTCAAATCAGAACAAAACTCTCACCAATCTGAGGTCAGGAAGAAATGGGATCAATTAATTTTTGAAAGAATGTCTGATTGCCGAATGGGGTCAGAATCATGGGCGAGAAAGACTAAGGGCAAGAGACTAGTCAGGAGGTTTTACTAGGATAAAGGCAAGAGAAAACAGGCGGCTGAGGTGAGGGCGTGGGACAGTTAGACTGCAGACATAACTGGGGAATTAACAGAGTTTGATGACTGACCACAATTGAGGGGTGCCTAGGAGCGAATCATGAAGCTTCCAATTTAGGGCAGTGATGTATATGATGACATTGTCCATACTGTCCTGAAGGAACTTAGAAGGAAAACCACTATGGCTGGAGACGTGGCCCAGTGGCTGCACTCACAGCAAAAGACTCACAACCACCTATAACTCCAGTTCCAGGGAAAACCAATGCCCCTGGTCTCCAAGAGCACCTGCACTCAGATTCCAACACACGGCACACAGACACACACAGACACGCACAGACACACACATACACACACACACACACACACACATAATTAAAAAATAAAATAAATCTTTTTCAAGAGAAGGGAAATAATTTGGGGAATCAAAATGAAAGCTTTAAGAGGTTCAGTATATCAGCTAAGGGGTTTAGTACAAAACCCTAACTAAGGTGTACATGTGTGGGAAGTTTAAGGGGACTGCTGAAATCAGATCTTGAGTGTTTTCTGAAGGTTTTGTCTCTAGAGTAGAGCTAGTGGGGCTGGTGGGACCTTAAGAGGTGAAGCCTAACGTTAGGTCTTTAGGTCACTTGAAGGGGGGAGGCTCTTCAGACTTGCTGTTCCCTGCCACCAGGTGAGCAGTTTTCCTCTGTCATTCATTCCATCACCATGTGCTGTGCTGTGCAATGTTCAACCATGGGCTAAAAGCCAGTGTTTGATGGACTGGAACCATCAAAACTGTGAGTCACCGTCAACCTGCTCTAAACTGGTCTCTCATAGATTCTGTTATGGTGACTAACAGAAAGCTGACTAACACAGGGAAACATCTGGCTGACAGGGTGGTCCAGAGCTCAGAACAGTTAATGCTGAGGTTCTGGATCCGGTGGGTGAATTGCAGAATGGAAGTGAAGTCTGTACCTTGGATTCATTCACAGACACAAGTTAAGGAACACCAACTGCAGTTACACGTGGATGGTATTATTGCTACCCGGCTGAGGTATGTCTCAATTCTCTTTAAAAGGAGCACAGTCATTATGTAGAGAATACAAGCTTTTTTGGACATGTCTCAGAGTACCAGGGAAACGCAGCAGCTACAGAAAGGCACAGCTGCCCCCTCTTCCAGAAGCCTCTAGTCATCCAGCTCTCTTTCTTGATGGATTGGAGCAGTAGTCATAAAACCCAAACACCAAATTTCATCAGCGCAATTTTCCTACCAGGCCAAAAAG